ATTTTTGGAGCACATGCTTCTTTATTTAATTAACAAAATGGCGGCATGAGGTAAGCTGGTGCGATCCAACAGTCACAGTATCACTTTTTCCTTTCTTGGAGAATGATTCTAGGGAACAAGGACCTGCGCATACCCTGTTGGAGTAGAATGGTGTAAGAATTAGCCTTCTATCACCAGGCAAGATTGATATATCGACCGACAACTGGATTGACAGGACTTTCCTGATGATGATGATGATGAAGATGAAAAAAGGTGGCTGAACAAAACGGCCGGTTTGCAGATTTTTTATTTTTCTCCCAGAAAAGGTCTAGAGCCACGCTAGTGGTACCAATGGAGTCCTCTGGTCAAGATAAGGTCCTCTAAGAAGTCTGGTAAGCATAAGAGCTCGTTTTCCTGGTATAGCAAGGCTGCAAAAGTCGTGGCAGCCATTTTGTTTGGGGGTGAATCCTACTTAGTAACGCTACTGCGTTACTAATAATATTTTATTTTACTTTTAGGTGGTTATCAGTTCTCTCTCAATTATCCCATTGCCTCTTGTTCCATTACTATAACAGTCTCAACATCAGGGAGTCTAATAACCAACCTACTATTAGGACGACCACTGTTGGACTCAGTAGCCGATGAAAAAATTATACTAGCATACATATTGATATGGTAGGAAAGGTGAAGAGGTTTACAGATTATTTTTACTGTATTCCTAGGTATTTTATTAATTTTTCTCCAGGTGACACTGTTTTTAAACTGTACAGTCAGTCTACTGTTATAAAGGTATAGAAGAGCTTATTTATATCATTCATTCCTCTCTTTCTCTCTCTCTCAGTATTTTTTCCTAACTCTTGAAGAGATAAGGAGATCTAATAACGTGATGACTGGAGTTCTATTAGCACAGGATATCTACCCTAATACTCTACTGCCACGCGCATTAGCAGGAATGTTTAAAGGCAAGCTCCTTTTAGTAGTACATAGGTCTAGGTGGTACTTGTAATAGAATAATTTGCAACTAAATGTACATGATGTATATTCTGGCCTTTGGTCTCAATCTTCTTTTGAACACATCATACATGTACATATAATTAACATATTCACACATTTACAAGATTACTAATCCTAGACTTTAATTTATAACTTTTTGTACTGATATGTTTTAGCAAGAGTGCATAATTTACATGTACTCTTGGTTTTAGGTACTGGGAAGAAGTGGAGCATTACATTTTACAGGTTATTGACAGGATCAAATCTTGCTAGCCAGCATGAACTCCTATCATTATCATTGTAAGTAAAGAATCACTTAAGCACACTGTCTATTCTTATCAGGGTTCAAACAAACATGCTAATAGCACGTATTCATTATTCAAAAATGAATGATTACATGTAGAACATACGGTCGAGGGGGTGCTTGTTAATTGGAGGCGCATTATTAGTGGAATGTCAATGGCGATGCAGCCAAGATAGAGGCCTTGTTGCCAGGCAGACAAGCAAATGCATAGTATCTTAGTGAGCATGTACTTAACTCTACGTGGCAATGATGGCATTTTGAGGATGCTTTAACCTATTCAGACCCATTTTACAAATTCACTACTAATTCACCTTTGACTACAATTATTATAATTTGCCACATAAATTTAGAGTTGCTTTTCTGATAACGTACATGTTTGTGAATGAATGCTTGTTAATACAAAGTAGTAGCTTATAGTACTATATTAGTATTTGATAATGATATTGG